CTCAGAAAAGTATGATAATCGATTTAAAGGTAATTTCTAAAGGTCCATTATGCATAGCATCTTGCATGGCATTTTCCGACTAACCTATTTTTTTACTAAATTACATGTCCTTCATATAAAAATATTTGTATATTTGTTTTCGCTAGAACTAACCGATTATTTTCTATACTTACAAGTAGTAATGAAGATATATGAAGAACTATAGTTCACTGAACTCTATAAAAGCTATTTTTTAGTTTCTGTGCCGCTGAGGGCGTTGGATACAATTTCTCAAATAACTTTCACTTATCTAGTACAAGAATAGAAAGTTGAGTTAGCTTTGTTAATAGAAGTATCGATGTAGTTGTGTATGTTTCCTCATTATTAGCCTAATAGGGCCTTTTTTAACCACTTTACTTTAAAAAGCATTAGTAACAAATTAAGTATTAAATTTAATGCAAATTTCATATATACTTGATATTTGTCAACTCTTTGCCATTTTACCAAAGAGAAAAGTCTTTATTGCTCATGTTTTAAAATATAAAGCTAATAGCTAGTAAATCCTTGATAGGAAAAGTTACTGGGTTTGAAGAATCTCCTGAGATAGCCTTGTTCGGGAAAGTTTCATTTCATATGAAAGTGCATGAAGCAGAGATTCGTAGGTTGATCTCACCAGAAGACGACAGCTGATGCCTATTGTGCTTCAGCCGTTTGCCTTTAATTTGCCGTTCATGCTGACGCAGCTCACGAGATATTCTTCCTCGTTTAAAGTGAAATTGGGCTGAGCTCTCTTCCATCATATGATGGGCATCATAAGTGCTGGAACTCATTCTTGCAAAAGACTCATTTTAAAACTAGGCCAAAAATATTATCCATTTCCATCTTCTCTTGCATATATACTCATAACTAAAAAACGAAAATACATCCAAATATAGAAATAAAATGGTTTGGTTAATTATCTTTCATGGCAGGACCAATTTAAATAGTAATTAGCCAAACCATTCCATGTTTATATGTACCCGTTTATTTTCATTTTTTAGTTATGTACATGTATAAGAGATATGGCAGAGCTAAATGGTCTTAATGACCTAGTAGTAACGTCAGAATCTTCCGAGAATGAGTTCAAACTGTGAGAATATCCATCAAATTATGGACGAAATTTAAGCTCAATTTAATTAGAAACGAGAGAGAATGTCTCATGAACTGCATCAGCCTGAACGTCGAACTTAAGCCAAACGGCTGCAGTACAATGGGCATCGGCCGTCCTCTTCTGGTGAGATCAACCTACGAATCTTTGCTTCATGCAATTTTATACGAAATGAAAGTCTCCTTGACAATAATAAATCTTAGCCCAATTTTTTTAGCACAATTATATCCTAGCATGAATAGAGATTTTTGGTATCACTAAAATTAAAGTTAGCCATGTATTCATAGAAATTGGAAGTCACGTTTCTTCACCAAATTCGTTCTTATGAGTGCTTTTTCATACATATTTAACAAGATTAGAACTTGCTATTAGTAAAATTACAAATACTCAGTACTCATTTTAATGAAATTCATTTAAATCTTGAAGCTTTTTCTTTATTGAAATAAATTAAGTTCAAGTAATAGGTAATGATTCACAAGAACTACTTCCTGCGTGAGTCTGCTCCACTCTAGTCTAAATCACTACTTAGTTCAGTCTTTTACGAATACTAATATAATTCACTTTAACCAAAACTTAGAACAATTGTGAAGATAATCACTCAAATAGTTCAAAGTGGGTTAACCTCGTTGTAGCAACATGGTTTTGGTGTTGCCGAGGCGACTTAGTAGAACAAACCTATTCCAAAGACCTCTGACATAGTAGTTGTCATAATTCCCAGCATCTGACAGTTGACTTAATACATTCTCAAACGTTTCGTCGGCATCATCTGTAAATTTTGACATTCTCCGCACCAAGCTATGAACTCGTCAAAGAGACAAGTGGAGTCAATACCTCGAAAAACGTTTGCCGAAGACAGTTACACTGTCACTTCTCTTTCTGTGTTGGCCTATCTATCTACTTGTTATCGTCTTATCCAACTCCCGCCCTATCACAACTTCTCACTTGTTTACATTCCACTCCTCAAAATGTACCCTTTTTTGGCAAATCTAGTATGGCCTCATCACACCCGCTATTGACCCCGAAACCCTCTAGTTTGATCAGCTAGTCTGACTTGGGTATCCAATACGGATCCTCCTCATGGTCCCGTAGACCCGTTCCTTATATTTCTGGTTGACCAATTTCACTCGGTGATGCCGGCGAAACGTTTGAGAATGTACCAAGTCCACTCTCTGATGCTGGCAATTATGACAACTATTATGACAGAGGACTTCGGACAAGGTGCGTTCTACTAAGTCGCCCTGACAAAAATACCAAGTTACGACAACATCCTCAACCCACTTCTATAAATCGAAAGGAGACTACGACCATAACAGAGGTCACACCATCTTGGTTTTAATATCATCAAAAGTAATTAGAGTTATGTAATACCTGCTATCAACCATGACAAAATACAAATGAAGTCTTTTTATAATATCCCTTAACACTGATGCATTGTTTATTCCCAGAATATGCATAATGGATGTTTTATAGTTTTTATTCTTATATTAATGCTTTTTTTGAAAAAATATGGAATTTTTTATTAGATATTAATGACTGCATTCACAGAACATTTTTTACCACATGAAATAAAATGTTTAATTGTGCTATCTTTTTTAAAGACGGGTAATTGCTCTTTTACTTCTTTCTGATGTGGCCATTTTGAATATATTACAGAATGTCATGGACATGGCGAAAGTTGTGCGCGAAAAGGAGATCAAAAAGTTGAACAAGGAATGGGAGTCTAAACTATTACGCCGCCATCTTCGTGACAAACGTCGTCAAGCCACACTCCAATATCAGTTGGAGCAAATGCGCTCTTATTTGATGGGGCCTACTGAAGAAAAGAAGCAAGAGATTGTAGGTTCGCAAGTTTCTCGTTCTAGCAGAGGCTTACCATGAGCCATCTTGTTATGCAATAGAGAGACCTGCAAAGTTCTTGCCTTTAACTATCGCTAATAAAACAATTAATAACAATGCCTTTATTGAAATTTACTAATAACTTCATTTTATGTTTTTTTTTATAAAATTGATAGGTCACTTTATAGAAAATCATTTTAGATTTGACATAAAATAAGGGTAACTTAGATGGCCTAATTTTAAATCCTCATAGCTCCATATCATTGTACTTCCAGTAGTGTAGCTAATATACTCATTAATAAATTTCATCTTATGAGTAGTCAAGTGTTTTTTATATGGAAAATTTAACTAAATGCGGCTTGATTTGAGGACAAACTTCACTATTATGAACTCGGGTAGGTTAATTTTGATAGACAACTTGTTCTTAGAAAGTGCTAATACCGGAAAAATTTTAGTAGTTGTCATTACATTTAACATGGTTGACCCATTAACTGTTGTAGCTGTAAGCCAGAAAAATAAATAAAACCAATTTTTTACGATTTCCATTTTTCTATTACTACTTGACTTTGTTTTGCTCAAGGCAGCAAGCTTCATAAAATGTAAGCTTATTTAGATAAAATGGAAATATTGTTTGAATCATAATATGCTCAGCATCAGCTTTATCAGAGAATTTGGGTTTTCCCAAAATGTGCATCTACAAAGAATGTGATTTGGCGGATGAGCAAACTCAAGAAAGCTTCTTAATCAGGCTAATTGTAAAATGGATCTCTATAGCTGATCAAATTGCCTATATATTTATATATGCTGAGGGATAAAATCGATTTAAGTGATTGTGTTTCAAATCTTTACCAGTTAGGCATACATTCTACTAGATCAAGTTTCAACGCGAGTTAATGCTCATAATGATCCTGAGGCGTCTGCAAATGGATTCCTCTTTTACAGTACTCTTTTAGAGTAGATCTAGTTTAATGCTAAATTTAACGCCATTTCTCTATATAATTCAATTTACGTCTTTCCGTTTACCAGAAGCATGCCGTATTTGTAGCCCATAGGACACTTTTATTAAAATAAGACAGGACCAAATTGCCCACGAAGGCTATCACTGTTAAATATTTATATATTCACATTATTTCCATAGCACGCGTAAAGAACTTCCCGAGCTTATATTAAGTTCTCCCTTTTTATTCATTTATTCTAAATGGTAACATATTTTAAGCCTTTAAGAATGCCTTCATATTCAGAGGATATACTGTGCATTTAAGTGAATTTCAAGAAAAAAATACCCCTCATAATTTATTTACAGAATTTTACTTATCAGTAAGATAGGATAAAGTTGCCCATTTTTATTTATTAATTAGTCTTTATTATTTTATCTTCCACTGACTTAGATGCTAGAGAACGGCTTTGTCTTCAAGTACCCTTCAAAGGCAGCCATTACCAAAGTAAGTTTTAAAGGCAATTTTACTTGTTCAGCTATTTCTAGTATGGCTTTTAGGTGAAAAAAACATTTTTGCGGAAAAGTTACTACTGTCTTGACGTAAAACCTGACTACTAAACTCATATAATTGGTAAATAAACTATGCAACTAAGTACAAACTGTGTTCATCCTAATTCGTTTAAAGTGTTGTAGGACTGGTAGTTGAATTTACTCACAATCACATTAGTACACTTGACGTTTTCATTGAATTTCACATAGCCTTGTTTTCCCAAAAGTTCTTCTCATCCAGAATAAATTGCAGTTTTTACTTCCCTTAGGTCTCCTCAGCATCCCCAATGGGAGTCAAGCCATGGCAATGCAGTGTGTAGCCTTTACATGTTGGTCATTACATAACATTACCACAAATGCCCGTTGTCCAAAGGGCAGATGTGAATTTCAAGGAAATCCAGGGAATTTCATCGAATCATTTTGATAATCGACGATGTTTTTTATATTTCATTTTGAGTAGGTTTTCAAGGCTACCAGTAAATCGGACCTATTTCGTTTGAGGTGATGAATGCCCTTCTTGGAATTCACATATTTCCTGTTACATAAGGGCACTCTTTGCAATGTGGTGCAGTGGTTAACATGTCGAGAGTATACGCTGCAATGTCATGCGGCTAGTATCGCTGGGGGTATTGATAAGACCGAGGCGAGGTAGAAACCGCAGTCCACACCGTCCAAGATGAGAATATCTTCTAATGAAGCAAACCTATATGAAATGCAATGGAAACTTCATCACCATAAACGAAATAAAGTGAACACAACTCATATGTATGATTTACTCGTAGTCTCGAACACCTACACAAAACGGAAATAAGTATTAAATCTAATTTGTTGAAAATATTTTGCATGTTCTCTTTAACACTTATCAAAGGATCTGATATTTATTTGCAAGTTTACAAAATTTCCCTTTCATTTATATCAAGAAATATGGGCCTCCTTTAATGTTCGATTATAGACCATTGTAATCATTTGTAGATATGAAC